TACCACTTTTTGTTAGTTTGTTACTAGTTAGATAGTTACTAGTTCTGCCTACCTGCCCACACATTGACCCTTTTGAGAACAGATTATTACACAATGTTAGCCACAGAAGTTGAGATTATTTCTGCTGGCATGTGCACATCAGTGGTGAATTTATTATGAGGTTCCTCTAATAGCCACTAGTGTTCGAACTCTGGGACGAGCAGTATTATAGTGCCAGTCCGTTGTAGTGCCGTTGGCCCTGAAAGGCATCGAAACCTTAAAAGCACAAAAATCCAGATCCCGTAAAACAACTGAAGTATGAAAAAGCTGCAAAAGCTCACAAAGGACATATGAAATGCAATTAGAACACATTCTTGCATCTTTTTCTTCTTCACAACACCAACAAATCCTTCTTAAAAAAATAATATTACAAGAGTAAGAGGGACACAGGACAGAGTTTGAGAAGCCAGTACTATTGATGATATTTCCAGCAGACATAAGTGCATGCAGCTGTTTACCATCTTTTGTGTGGTGTGTTTTGTAAGGTGGTTGTGCCTCAGGGAAAAGAGCCCCCCTGTTTCCTGCAGCTTTTCAAGGGAGGCTTGGTCATTCACAAAGGAAAGCAAGAGGAAGCTTCCATCAACACAGGTGGAGTAAAATCAGCTTGGTTTTCAGTCCATTTTCCTTCTCTTCTTTGTTTGAATGTTGTGATTATCAAAACACAGAAAGCTGGCGTCTGTTTTGTGTGCGAGGGGAGCTCCCAGAAGAGGGTTTTCTGTTAGAGGTGGACTGCTGCTGTGCGGGTCTGAGGTCGAGAGGCTGTGTTGTCCTGCTAAATGGCCAGCAGGGAGTGCTCTATCTCTGGATTGGTTGTAAGGCTCACAGCAGCACAAAGGAAGTCGGCAAGAGGGTGGTGGAGGTCCTCACTAAAATGTGAGTCACATGTTCTTATTGCGCTTTTTAAAAGTTCTCAGTATCAATTTTTATTTTTTTTTAGCTTGAATGTACTTTTATTTTTTGTTTGTTTGTGTGTTTTAGCTGTCCATCAGAGGTGGGTTTAAGCAAAAGCAGCCCTGTAAAGGTGCAGATAGTACAGGAAGGTTCAGAACCAGAAGACTTCTGGACAGCACTGGGACAAAAGGACAGGAAGGCCTATGACTGCATGCTGCAAGGTGCAACGCAACACACACTGTGCTTTGCTGTGGACTGTAAGCCTTCAAATCATAGTAAGAAACAACTCTTTTGTAATGGCAGATCCAGGAAAGTATAACTTCACGCCTCGCCTCTTCCACCTAAGTGCCTCTTCTGGGAGTTTCCAGGCCGAGGAGCTGCAGAGTCCGATGCAGATGCCGGGGCTTGTGATGGCAATGCCTTTTGTCCAGGAGAGCCTATACAGTGTACCACAACCAGGTGAAAACAGACACAAAACAAACTAAATTCATCTTATATTCAACTCTGCTTTTCAGTTTCTCACCTCTGTCATTTTATCTGCAAAAAAACCACATTTAAAAAGTAACAGAAAATTGCTTCCCTATACACTCATCTATTGTTTAACTTCATCTATCCTCCCCCCTGCCAAAAACATCAGTCTAATGTAATTCCACTTTATTGCCCAATTTCCCTCTTTGTTGTCTGCGTGCCAGCTTTGTTCCTTCTTGACAACCGTCTGGAGGTCTACTTGTGGCAGAGAGGTCAGCCTGAGCAGACTGAGAGCTCCTCAGCCTGGAAACTCTGGCATCATGAGAGGAAGTGTGCCATGCAGACAGCGCTGCAGTACTGCAAAGGTAGTAAGAACTGAGGGAGAGGAGTTGGTTTCATACAGAACTTGATAAGTTTTAAAATGTATTGTTTATTCTGTATCCCAGAAATAAACCAGAGAAGGCCGCCACATGCGTATCTCATCCTCGAGGGGGCTGAGCCTCTCACCTTCACTAATGTCTTCCCGCGCTGGGAGAAAAGCCTTGAACCTCATGCACAGGTATGAACATGTTTATCCAGAAATGAGCTCAAATGTTATAATTTGGTTTAATTTTAACAACCTCTGAATCTCGTCTAATCAATATTTCTTCCCACTTTAACATTAAACATTAACATTACATTAAAAAGCATTCCTTTTTAGGGCTCATGTGCAAACTTTAACTGTGTCATAGAAGAAGGCGACCTTGTAGCATCTAAGATAAGTTAGCCAATGAGCAGCACCTTTTCCAACCAAGATCACAACACTATGTGTGTTTGGTACTTTAGATTTAATTATGCTCATCACAAATGATACAGAGGTTGGATAAATTCATAATTCATGTTGATGCCTGGGGATAAAAAAGATTCATTGCTGAATAACCTGCAAAGCTTTCCTTCTTTCACTCTTATTTTATTGCCTTGTACTTACATCACAGGTCTCAAAATGACTATAACACTAAGGAAGTGAGGGTCTAATTGTTCCTTAAACCTCATTTATATAAGAAAAATTAAGATTAAAGTTGCAGAAGTGATATCTGTGGTTTTAAAACTTTAAGGCCACACACAAGAATCAAGGTTAATTTTTTGTTGTTGTTTCTCTGTGAATTTTAAAAAGGAAACAATTTTTTTAGGGGGATCTCGGTGACTAATATTTTTTTTACATTTTTTTTGCACATGGTTCAAAACTTTAAACCTCACCTGTGGAGAACCTCTCATATCTGAAAGTGGTCAGCCCCACCTTCATGAGTCCCCTCAGTGTGGTCATTAGTTAAGAAAGGGCACCACGTGTCAGTCACAGGTCAAATGTGGCAACACAAAAAAACCCCACTGGTATTTGGCAAAAAATTGTTTGTCAGTAACTGAGGTAACAAATGGCTTAAATACATCTTCAAGCATTGTGGAAATTTACAGAATACACATTTAATGTCTATTTTTTTGCCATGTCTCACTCCTTGGGTGTGACTCAGGGTGATACAGGGCGAGCGAAGCTGACCTTGGTGCAGGACACCCTGGCCCAGCTCATGAAGACCCAGTATCCCCTGGAGGAGCTGCTGCGGAGCCCCCTTCCTGAAGGAGTGGACCCCCAGCGCCTGGAGGTCTACCTGTCCAATGAGGACTTTCAGGTAAACTGATGGATGATGTCACCATCTTGCAGTGATGTGCCCTGACCAGCAGGCTTCAGCCTTCACCAGATTTTCCGAATGAAAATGCTGAAGATGCTCTCATGTTTATAAGCTAATGATAAATATAGAGCGGAAGTTTTGCCGCAACTTTAATGTTTACATTTGTATTGGATTTAAAAATTGATTTCTACTTTGTCTCCTCCATAAATAAATTACTTCAATTATGTTTCAGACTATTTTGGAAATGAAGAGAGATGAATATGCCTCCCTCCCAAGCTGGAAGCAAATTGATCTGAAGAAGAGCAAAGGGCTGTTTTGTTAGACAATGAAATAAACTGGAGGCTGACTGATGCTGTGACAGCAGAGACTTCCTTGTCTGCTGCGAAAGGAAAATGGCATGGGGGGGGACATAAGAACCATGTTTCCACACAAAGAATTGCTCACAGCATAATACAACTACAAAGAGATCACTTTTATTTATGTCAAATTAGTGTGTGGACTTTTTATTGGACATTCTTTAAACCTACCAAATGGTTGAGAGAAAATAAACAAACTTTTTTACTGTCTGTACAAATCAGTGAAAGATAATAAAAAAGGTTATATGGGAGTAAAATAAAGACATCAGTAACAAACATTGGAAAGAAAACATAGGAGTGCTTACAAAAAGATTAATGCTAATAAACAATGTAAACAGACAAAAAAAGGCTAACCACTTCCTAAATATTTCCTCCTTGATCAATATCTTTCCACCAAAATGTTCTGAGCTGCAGTTTCTCCTCAATTTTGATTCTTCTTCCCTGCTTAACGATTGCCGCAAGAACCTTAAAATAAGAGTGTATGGCATTGTAATCTGTGACGTGTACTTTACAATCGTGTCACACTGATGTGTTCATTTGTCTGGAAGCCTTGTGTGCACAAAGCTTTGTGCCATGTGTATTGTAGCTGTGGCCAATGTGCTCATTGTGGCTGGGAGCGATGCCTTATTAAGGCTCCTTGGGGATTCACTATTAGCTATGCATGAAGGGACAGGTAGACATGCTCCAATAACGTCCCTTTAGCTCAAAGCAACACGCTAATTCAGTTTCACCTCAATCAACACACTGTTCCAAACACCCTCATAACACAGCAGTACACAAAGACATACTGTATCTCTCAATGATGCATGGAAGCCCATTATTTATTAAAGGAAAAACAATCTATGTAACACATGTATTGCTTAACAAATTTTGATGTGAATGTGTCAGTCTACTTTAATGTTTGTGGGTTTTTTCTCTTTTTTTGTAGTATACACATAGAAAGGGATGCTACAGCTGGATTCTACAGCAATTTTTTGTTATTTGTTTTTAAGATATCACTCTCAGGTTGGTTCATTGTCCATCTCTGACATAAACCCCCCCAAAAAAGAACCTAAAACAAAACAGAAACAAGAGTAGCAAACAAAAAGAACCCCTAGTATTTTGTTAACATGATCACATTGACAATGCTAGCATGCTAATATTTAGCATAATGTGGCTGCGTTCGAAACACTTTTTTCATTTTGTTGTCAGCATTTCTTGACTTACTGTCTAGCAATCACGAAGTCCAGAGTCACTGGAGAGAAAATGGTAACATGCTAATAATAGCATGCTAATCTTTGCTAATTAGGCTAAGTTTTCCCCATCTAGAGTAATTTATATTTTACAATATGGCTCTACGTCTGGAGAACAACTGTCACAGAAAATAAGGTTCCTAAATGACTACCGACAAGATTGAGTCCGACACTGATTCTTGGCCTGTGTTTGATAATCATCTTATACCAACTTTCATGGTAAGTTGTTGAGGAATCTCTCAAGAATAAGTCAAAGAATTAAAACATTGTTTGGGGTCTTCTACAATCTGTCTGTACACGTTTCTTTTTTGCCAAACAAACTACTGAGAGCTTAATTGTAAGACCAGCATTGCAATATCTGAATTAATATTAATATTTGCCAGTGTGGCTAGAAACTTTCAAGAGGAAGAAACACAACTAGAAGAATCTTTTTCTGTGGTAATAATATCTAAATCCTTTGCTGCTGATCTTAGAAAATTCACAGTTGGGTGATTTTTAACAGCATAAGAGTATCTGAGGGATTAAAAAAAACAAAACACAAAAACAAAACAAAAACGTCCATGACTAGCTGACCTCCAAAATTGGAACCATCTCGGGTTAGTCTTCAATTCACCCAGTGTGGGTTCACTGGCTAATGGGTATTATTTTCCTCAAAATGGATTAGCTGACTAAGCCACCATGTGACTATGCAGGCCTAGTTAGGCTGGATTTAGGCCTACCGCTCAGTGATGGCACACTCAAAGACATTTCCAAAGACATTCTGCTGTAAAAATATCTGCTGTAGGGTTACATAAAAATGTATGTGTGTCAGCCTGAGAGATCTACTTTGAAAATATCACTATGCAGGTGTAGTAGGGTAGGTGTGTAGGTGTAGTAAAGTTACTTTAAAAATATTTCATGGTCCTTGCATCTATGATCACAACCTTTTATCTGGAATGAATAATGAGTTTGGGTAGTGTGCCTTTTTGACTCTTCAGACGAACCAGGTGGTTTGCTTTAGATGGCCTGTTCTCTCTGAGCATCAGCTACAGGTATGCATCGTTCTGGTTCAGAAGCTAGTGCTGCTTCTCGCAAAACCACCATGTGATCTTCAGCCGCATGGAGTGACTGGTCGATCCAGTCTAAACTGCCGGACATGTGACAGGCGTTGCGGGTGACCAGGACCAGGTGGCTGACAGAAAGGAGGAGAGCGGTGGCCCTGAGAATGAATAAAACAATCATATTCAAATCAGTGAGCTGCTGAAGGAAGAAAAGCATTTTTATCCCAACCTCTATCATCCATTTGGCCATCTCCAAAATTATTACAGATAAATCAAGTCCTGTTGTTGCTCCCTCCTGGCTTCTTCAGGCACCTAACTAATCACTGAAGCTGAAAGTCTTTTGCATTAGGCTATCGAAGTCACACCTCTCTGGAAAAACAGATCAAATTACCTGGCATCCAAGAGGATTGGATCCAGAGGAGGGTACATAGATCTGACTACGTCATCCACCCTGTGAGACGGACAACGATAAAAGACGGTCAGTCCATCTTAGTTACAAGATAAAGTTATAAGGAGTGTATCACGTTACCTTGGGCTGATCCGCTTAGCCACAGTGATAATATCACTCAGGCTGGCTGGTGCTTTAACTTTTGCCCCTGAGCCCATCGTCATCGCAACCAGCTTTTCAGTCAAAGTGTGGCAGATCTATATGTGGAAGTAATTGTAACAGCAGCAGTTAGCCAAGTTAATAACATCTAGCAATTAGAAAATTACATAAATGTCATTAAATCTCAATATTTAACTTTAACTTTGATGCTTAGTAGACAAGTTGCTTTTGTGACTTAAACGAACGGGAGCTGACAACCGAGACATTCTCAAGTCAGAAAACCCTTCAAGACTTTGATATGCCTACTTAATCTAAACAGACATATAAATTAAAGTTAGAGCTAAATCAGTAAGTTAAATATTTCTGTTACCTTCAGGATAGAGATACAGTGAGACACCAAACCACTGTTGGAGAAAAGAAAACTCAAGAAATTATTTGCAATCCCTGACAGAAAACAGTACATGCATAAAAGCTGTAAACTTCTATAGTTCTACAATGACATGTGTAAGACATACGAGGCATCCTCTATCCAGTCCTCATTCTCTAAGATTGCTTCAATGTGAGGGTTAGTGATGACTACATCATCCAGCTCCAGCTCAGAAGGTTCGCTCTGAGTCTCCATGGCTCCAATCAGATCCACTGTGGGTCTGTGAAACAACAGAAGTACGAGGAAGCTGAATAAAAACTCATTACAGCAGAGAGTAACTGCAGATTGGGGATTATTTAGTATTTACATATATGTGTTGCAATATATCAAAACACTTTTTAAGAAATAAGAACTTTTTAAAAACCAAATGACTAAATGCTGAACAGACACAAACCATGTCCCTTAAAAGGAGGTATTCTACTCTGTAAATCAGATTTAATCTGACTAAATGGTGATGGACTGTTATTAATTTAAATCATATTAAATTCATTTGTTAAGGCCAAATTATATTCCTACATGCCTAGATTATTATGATGAAAGGCCTGATTTACACTTACCACACACTTTATTAGATAAACCTCTTCAACTGCTTGTTAATCCAAATATCTAATAAGCCAATCACATGATTGCATTGCACCCGTCACTGCATTTAAACATGATCAAGACGACCTGATGAAGTTCAAACCGAAGACCAGAATGGGGAAGAAAGGTGCTTCGAGTGATAATGAACATGGAATAGTTGTTGATTCCAGGCTGGCTGGTCCAAGTACTTTAGAAACCACTGTTCTACCGGCACTTTCTCACACTACCATCTTTAGGGTTTACTAAGAACAGTTCAAATTTAAAAAAAAAAAAAAGGGAAAATATGCAAGTATTCTCTGGAAGAAAATACATTGTTGCTACCAGAAGTCAGAGGAGACTAGCCAGACTGTTTTAAGCTGACAAGAAGGCAACAGTAACCCAGTTAACTACTTGTTACAATCGTGGTATGCACTCAACATATGGGCTACAGCAGCAGAAGACCACATTGGGTACCATTCTATCAACAAAGAACAG